ATTCAATTGATTATTAATTAGTAGAAAATCTGAAAAATTCACCTCTAATCGTCAATTCTCACGAAGCCATTATTATCGAATTGAAACTCGACGGATATTCATTGTTTTCTTCTACTGTATTAAGTGAAAAAGGAACTGAAACTACATAAAGGAACGTCTAAGATTACAATTTCAACGGGTAATTCCACAAAATCATCTTCCTTTCCCCACAACATTTCTCCCCGACTTTCGTAAATCCCATTTCACCGCAAGACCTCGGTTTTCACATCGAAACTACCGGCTATGCAAATTGAGGCTGTTTCCTAATGGCGAAAGCCATCGCGAGGCGAATATTTTTCATCTTCGAATTGTGCAACGCGATATTGTGAGAGATAGTATTGAAAGAGCAATGATACTCTGCAATTTGAAGATAGAACGATGTTTTTTAATTGTTTTTTTTTTTTTAAATATTATACTTTTTTTTTTTTTTTAATTTACATGAAATTTTCTAAATTTTTTTATCGTACAGTAGACTCCCGTGTAACGCGCAAGAAATTTTGCAACTACTGTTTTCATATAACGCGATTCCTCGACACATCGCGGCAACTACTGAAGCACAGGAATTCCCCGCATTTAAAAGTTCAACATTACACTGTTTCCCTCATCGTTACCGACTTCTTCCGTTTCGTAATTGTTTCTTTATTCACACACGCGTTAATATGTTGCTTTTTCTAAACCGACATCGTATATATGTCAGATTAAAAAAAAAAAACTGTCCTATTTGATAAAAAACGTAGACGATAAAAGTTGGCGTGGCGATAATCATTCCACACGTGATACTTAAATTACATGTGGGCAACTCGCTGCCCGCGGGCTCGATACGGCCCGCGAAATCTTTAAATTCGGCCCTCCAAACACTAATTAGTATCGTGCTTCGTTTTATAATTTTATTTAACAAATCAGCCTTTTTTATGTATTATTTAGCTAAAGTTGTATGAAACACATAATCGCGTACAACATTACATCGGAGATATTAACCCTTTGCACTCGAGAGGCGACTAAGAACGCTGTGGATGTACAACGTTCCCGCGGCCCTCCCTAGCGCACCCAACGAAGATCACCGCGGATGTTTTTAGTGGGTAAGAATCCCACACTATACTCTGTCCAATTTAAGAATAACCTCGCTCTCGGACCGATTCTCGTCCGTTCTACGCATAGACAGAGAGCGTAGCAGAGGGTAAGACGGAGACAAACGTAGGCGGTTTGGACGTTCTAGTCCTGCCTTAGGCACGTCCCATGCGCGAAGCGAGGTTATTCTTAAATTGGACAGAGTGTACCTCTGTCCCCTCCCCCGGGGGGACGGCGGTGTCTTTCTGAAGATTTCCTCCGCGTTAATAAAAAAAAAAAGCGACTAAGAAATGACGTTATATTTACCATCAGAGACAACTCTAAGGACGATATTTTCCAAGGCAGCAGGTCTATGGACCTCCGTAAATTGTTCGCTACATGTTCAGTAATCTCAGCAGTGAAATAGTTCGAAAGAACCAACTTCTGATAAAAGTATTAGTTTCAAAAAATTACATTGCTTTTTGCTACTTCCTTATAGAAAAAAGGGGCCTTCGAGTGCAAAGGGTTTGTAACGGTTTGGATTTAAAAAGGGCGCGTCTTTTTGCCGCGATCAGCGCGCGTCCGCCGAGCAGCGTTGGTAGTGGCAGCACTGGGAGCGGCGACTGCGCATGCGTCAAGGAAAAAGCGATCGAGAAGAAAGTATGGCGTGTTGTATTAAGACCACGTGCGTGGCGTCTGTTCTCGATTTTTCCCAATAAAAAGTAATACAAAAACATAAAAGTTCTTTCCCCCCTCTGCGAATTCTTTCCCGTGCGCGAACATTTGTGGCGACCGTGACAGGGTTAATATATCGATACGTAAAAACACCCGCGAAAACCCATTTAGTCTGGCCCTTAACTCGTGGAGAGGGAATGATAATATGGCGCCAGAACCAGGAAAGGTTGCCCATGCGTGCTTCAGATTATTCACGTTATACGAGGAAAATTTCATAAAACCCGTTCATACGGAAGTGTCTACCGTATTTGTGACATAATTCTGTGGGTAGAAATTGAATCGAGCTGTTTTCTCGTGGAAATCGAATCGATTAAAGTGAACGTTTCCAGAGATAGATCTTCCGTTTTCGAGATACGAAAAAGAGGATACCAGATACGTTGATGTTACTTGCTTGACATGTTGAGTCTTCGAGAGAATTAAATACTCGGAGATAAAGTCACTTGAGCAAGTGATCCCCTAATTAATTGACTGGCGTCTGCTTTTTTACGCAACAACTGATAAACCAGAGAGAGCGTGCAAAGAGCGAGAAGCGGAAACTAATGACCGAGATACGCGGCACGAATTGCTATTACAAAACCTAACTGGGTTTTAAACTGATAAACATACGTCATCGTATCGAATTTTTCTTTTTTTCTTTCTTCTTGCAATTGATTTGTTTCTGTATCGAGGAATCGTCATTTTTTTTTAACGATTTAATTGAACGATTGATAAGTGAGGTAATAATAGAGTGTAAAATGAGGAAGTTGATAATACAATTGTAATTGAATAATCAATGTAACTTTGGAAATGTTTAAGTTTGAAAGTAGAGATCTGCATTGCAACGTGTTGCTATTTTATTTGTTTCTTTTTTTGAAATTATTTATTATATGATTAATAAATGAGTTGATAATATAGTCATAATTATGTAATTAAGATTATTATTCCAAATGTATGAATTAGAAATTTGCATTGCAACCTGCTGCTATTTTTATTTTCCATTAACATAATTCTGAAGAAGTGAGTCATCGACGTCTTAAAATTCCTGGTCCTTCATGGTCCAATTGCTACTTGGTATTACGTCTTAGCCGATACATTCTCATTCGACTGCTTTCGAACATACTTTAGAATTGCGTTTGAACAAAAAAAGAAACATTATTTACACGTGGAAAAATCAGCGATATTCGAAAGTTATCTTCTTTAACATTCAACTTACAATTTTGTAAGTTTATTTGAGAACACTGTACAACATTTTTTTCTTATTTTTATCTCACGTTGAACACCCGAAGTACCTCAAAAAAATTAATTTAGTACAATTAACCCTTATCTA